GAAATGATGGGAGTGTCTTTTTGTATGCTGTGAAAATATGTTGCTCTGATTGGTTGATAAATAAAGCTGTTTGGCCAATGGTGAGGCAGAACAGGGTTAGGTGGGACATTCTAACTAGAGAGGAGGAAGGAGAAAGGTAGAACAGAGAGACGCTGCCAGCCACCACCATGAGATGTAAAGATACCGGTAAGCCACAAGCCATGTGGCAAGGTATAAATTTATAAAAATGGATTAATTTAAGATGTAAGATCTAGCTAGCAAAAAGCCTGAGCCTTTAGACTGTACAGTTTTAATTAACATAAGCCTCTGTGTGTTTATTTGGGTCTGAGTGGCTGTGGGCCCAGGCAGGACTGGAGAAAACACCAGCTACATATAGCCTAATATGCCTATTAACAATAGGTGATGGTGACTGGAATTCTAAACTGTAGAAAGAGTAATGGTCACAGTAGTCATTATTCTATGCTTATGTTACATTTGTCATCACTCTGACAAAATATGTGATGTCATCTAAAAGAAAAAAAGAAGTTATTTTAGCTGATGGTTTCCAAGGTTTCAGTTCATTGTAGAGTAAGCTGTTTATATCACAGTACCCAGGAAGGAAAAAGGAAAGAGAGGAAGAGACTGGAATCACACACCCACCTCCGACCCCCAGTGACTTACTTCCTGTAACAAGGTCCTACTTCCAAGGTTTCCACATATACATACATACACTCAAATATTGCCATTACCTATTGGAGACAACACCTTCAATACATGAGCCATTGGGAAACATTTAAGATACAAACCATAATAGTATTTTCAGTCTCAATATGTACATCAGAATAACCAGCACAGTACAAGGAATGATGTCAAAGGGAATTTATGACTCATTATGCTGCAGCTGTTCCCTGGACAATGAGTCTAAATTAGCTACTCTTCATAGGTATCAGCCCACATACTTCTTTGGACTACCATGTCCCCAAAACCATTAAAATCACCAAAGCCATTTTTGTAATTTTAACCCACTGCTCATCAGCCAATGTGCTATTTATCTGTAATTGGACTTTGAAATGCCTCTCTTATAGACTAGTCCAGAACACCTTCATAAATGTATGCTTGGTATTATAAAAATTTGGCCATTCTGGTATATATGGCAATCTTGTGAGTTGAATGGTATGCCCTTGAGGAGTTGGTTATGTATAAGAACATCAACAGAAAGTTCTGTTTCTTTAGATTTGATAACCTCAACATGGCGAACCCTGAGCTCACTCAACAGGTGCCTGGATATCTAGGAAACATCACTGAATGTCAAATCTCTGTCCTCACCTTTCAAATTTGATATAAGTCCCAGTTAGATTGTGGTGTGTTGGTTTCCTTCCAAACCATGAAATGCTTCCAGCATCTTCTGTCAAATTGGTTTGCGCTCTTGTGTCATCGTTATTTCTTTCTGCAAATACTTGTGAGTCCCCCTGATTCTAGACAATTGCTTGTTATTTTTCCACTTACATTATTATTCATTTATCACATATAGTTCCATTGGAAATCTTCTTTCAGGAATAATTATAAGATAAATATGGCTGATGAAGTACCCACCAAAAATAACATCCTCTTCCTTCAAAACATGAAGTCATAGATTAAAAAAAAAAAAAGATTTAAACCCACAATTACCCATCCCCAAGTGAAATTTCTAAGTGGCATTAAAAACAGAAAACCCCAGGAACGTGAGCAAACTGTGAAACAAAATGTCCCCTGAAAGCTGAAACTACCAGCTGCAGATTTGAGCATGGACCAAATCAGAAGGTTTAGAGGGTTGAATTTTATACACCAGGAATAGGTGGAGCTGCACGCACATGAGCTCCAATCCTTAGAAGACCACATTGGGAACCAAGCGAAAAAACAGAGATAATCCGTTACTATAAACGGCAATTGAAGGAACCAAATTAAAGCAAGAAACTCCAAGGAAACATAGTTAGACAATAATAGTAAAAGAATTGTTTCTTCTGTAATATTTAGAGGTCAGAACTTGTGAAACAAATTAGCAAAATTGTGAAGAAACTGACTTAGATATAAAATATAGATAGTACATAAATAAAATATAATTTAAAATGAAGGTCACATATGGGTGAGATGGCATACTTATGTAGGTTAAGTGGAACTGAACTGAAACATACAATTAAGAATGTCTCCCATGATATTACAGAGACTCCCATGATATTACAAAGAATGAAGAGCATAAGAAACAAAAATCAAAGAGGTAAAGGAATCCTAGTAGTTTTGATCTGTCCTGAAGTAAGGAGCAGAAAAATAAAAACAAAACAAAAACACAGAAAAGGTGATAGTGAAATAGACAATGACTGGAAATGCTACAGAATTGGAGAGAGACAAGATTCTCTTGGATTTAATATCCAAGGGAAGTTAGACGAAGCATTGATGTCTTTAAGGCAACACATCAAAGCAAGCTCTAAACTAGGCATAGTAATTCAAATCTACAATTCTAGCCAGCATTTAAGAGGCTTGACTCAGAAGACTTCCATCCCAACGTAGGCCACAGAGCATCTTAAATAAAAAAATAGACAAATGGGAAAAAACCATTAAAAAAAAGTCACAGTAGGACTGTGGCCCTGTGACAGAACACTTAAGGCCAGGATCCAAAATCTGTCACTATAAATGAAGTAAAACAGGCAAAACACAAAAGTCACACTCCATTAGTTGTAGGAAAATGGCATATCATCAGATTAAAAAAAAACTTTGAAAAGGCTACAGGAAACAAAAAGCAACCCATATAACAGAACACACAGCCGATCTGTGTGAAACATGTTGGATACTCAAAGAAACAGTGTTAAATGAAATAACTATTAGTATAGAATTTTATACCCAGTCAAACTACAAATCAATAAGTCATTTTAAAGGGAGGTGTCTAGCAAGCTTACTAACCACAGACTCCTTCAGATCAAAGTGCTAAAGGTATACTTCAGCAAAGACAATAAACACAGAACACGATGGCAGAATCAGATGTGATCGAATTAGCTGACAACAGAGTAATGGCTATGATTTTGGTAATAACTAACACTTTAAACAACTGCATTGGTTACTCTTTTCATTGTTCCACTCAAAGACCTAACAAGAAACAATGTAAGGTTTGAAAGGTTTGTTTTGGCTCAGTGTTTGAGCACACTACCCATAATATAAGGAAGGTATGGCAGCAAGAGTGCGATGGCTCATATTGGGTGGATCAGAAAGCAGCAAAGGGGTAATTGTAATACTCAAGTGGGCATTTCTTCTTACCATTTTTATCCAGTCCAGGACCTCAGCCTGCCCAGATTCAGAGCGCATCTTTCAACCCCATCTAATCCTCTCTGGAAATCAGTGCCTCACTAGAGCCCAAAGTATTTGATAATCCAATTACACTGCTCATGAAAATTAACCATCACAATAACTAGCAATATTATAAATAAGAAGGTAGCATTGGTATTTCATAGCAGCCATATTTCTGCATATCTTGCAAACAGACGTGGAGATTGCCATATAGACTGTCTACTCCTGGAGGGAAGGACAGCTTTCTTACACTCTTGAAAACAGAATGCCTTTTCCCAATCAGAGATAACCCACACTTGTCTTAATTTCTTCTATAGCTGTGATAAAATACCTTAAGAGAAAAAAAACAGATAAGCTGGGAAGAGTTTATTCTAGTTCACAGTTTGGGGAAGTCGAGGCAGCAAGGACTTGGAGCAGTTGGTGGCAGCACGTCTACATTGTGCCTGCTGCCGGACAGCAGACAAGAGTGATTGCAGACTAGTGCTAAGTAGTCTCTTCATCTTATACAGCTCAGTAGCCCGTGCTCCGAAAATGGTCCAAATCATGATGCATCTTCCCACATCAATTAATGTCAACACAGTAATCTTAGAGTTTAACATAAACTGACTAATCCCTCATAAATTCCCCCCAAACCAATCTCTTTACTGAGTCCATGTCCAGTAGGTTGATAAACAAGGCTATCCACTGTTACATTTAAAGTCCCGTACAAGGGATTCAGAATCTCTCAGCTCAGCATCTTTCCCTATAAAGAAATACGTTGTGTTTACAAGCATCATCTGGACATCTTGGTGTCACTCTTTGGATGCTAGGCTCCTTTAACTAGGAAAGGAAAAGCCCACCCCTGTCACTATTATTATTACAATGAATGTAAAATCCTCATGCTCCCCCCCCCCCTCCAGTTGTGGCTTCTGCTAGAACCAATGAAACTGATAAAATCCCAAGCCCTTATAGTTCCTGACTGGTAGAAGTAGGAATAGGAATTTAGATAAAAGTGAAAAGGTATCACATTTGGGAAGAAGGAAGAGATGTTCATTAAGTTTAGATATCATAGACAAATATAAATTTAAATTTCCTGTTAAAATACTGATTGAGTTTATAACATTGAAACTGATAGGCTATTAAGAGGAATTATTAGTATTTTTACTTGACAGTTTCAAAATAAGGAAATGTTGCAGAAAAGAGAAATTACAATAAATTTAGAAAAGTATGAAAATAGATTGGCACAATTATTTTAAAAATACTAACAGTAGAATTGAACATGGAGATGCTGAGCTAGTATCTTCACCCCTATATTCCAGCATATTTAGTATAGAAAGATACTCGCCGTGCCATAAAGAGAAATGTAAACACCAAGTCGGTCATGAACCCTTTATCTACAATGATGTACTACCTTAAAGTTATGCTAGGGCAATGGTAGCACAAAGCTTGTGGGAGTAACCAACCTATAACTGGTTTGACTTAGGGACTACTCCATGAGATGGAACGCATACCTAACATTGCTTGAGTAAGCAAGAACCAGAGACTAGATAGCCCAGGGACCAAGGAGAGAACTAACCTCCACACACATGCTGTTGCAAATACACATGCATGCATACATGTACACACACACACCACACAAACGTACACACATGTACACACACACACCACACATGCACACACAAATAATGTGCTTTAAGGTTCATATTCTTGAATTGAGTTACACTTACCTGATTATATATAATTCACAAGCTATTTCAAAGTGACACAAAATGTTTAAATCTAGAGTCAGAAAAAAAAAAGCACTGATCAGGAAATTAGTAGCAAAAGAAAGGCAGCAATAATGGTATCTGTGCCAATAAACAAAAATTACTGAGATTGACTGAAAAGATATAGAAAGCCCAACCGTATTCTAATATAGTGCTTCGTCTCACCAAGCTGCTGGCCCTGGAAGTCATGTTATCGCCTGCCCCTTATTTCAGATCCAGTTGTGATTATCTCTAAATGCGGTTTAAGACTCCTTGTATGAGTATCGGGCTAATGGTCCCCAAACTTCATGACAGGAGGGGGAAAGAAAACAGCAAAACATCTCAAGAGTGAAAACGTTTCTTTAAAAACAGCTAGCAGCAACCCATACCCAACGGAGGTTACTGTTGTCCATTTTCTGCCATAGAAATGGCCACAGTGGGAACAGAAAGCCAGAAGCTCAGGCACTGGGAGCTCATCTGTGCAGAAAAGCTAAATCAGGAACTCCACATGACGCTTCAGCTTCTGCAGAATGTTTGTAAGCCCCTGGTTTGATGACATTATCTCTTGTTTGCTCTTTCAGCTGAGTTACCCCAGTCGTCTCTGTTGGACGCTGTGAGGCCCAATTTGATGGTGTTTTTCAATCTACCTGCTCCTTCTGGTACCTGCTATACCTGCTATTTGCTCTTTTTTTTTTTTTTTTTTTTTTCGCTTTTGCTTGCTATAGGTTTAACAAACTCACTCCAAACTGGAAGTACAACAACCACAGATCATTCTTTGGACCATACAGAATATGCACCAATTGCAAAATTAATAAATTAATGCCATGATCAAAATCCCCCTCTTCTCTCATCTTAATATCTACCTATACCACACTTGGACACAGAGACAACTGCTCAACCATGTTCGCTGATGCTCTAGTCATAATAGAAATTGGAAACAGACTAGATGTCCATCAACAGATAAATGGATAAAGAAAATGTTTTATATTTATACAATGTAATGTTACTCAGCTGTTAAAAAATCAAATTGCAGGCAAATGGTTAGGAGCTAGAAAACAAAATCATCCTAAGTGAGGCCATCCTTAAAAAGACTAATATGGTGTGTTTTCACTTGTATTTGGTTGTTTGTTCTTAAGTCTTAGATAATCAGCCTACACTCAATATAAACACAGAGGTTAGGTATAGAGTAAGGAACCAGAGGGACAGGGATGGATCTCCCTAGGAAGGGGAAATAGGGTAGATAGTTATTGATTAACATGGGGGTTGGTTGGGGGATAGAACAGGAGGATCAAATGGTGAAGGAGAGTTGAGAGGGGATGAGAAAGGGAATGCAGGGAGGAACAGCCAGAAATAAGGGTCATTTGAGAGGTCATATGAAAACCTAATAGAGTAGAAGCTTCCTGAGATACAAACATATAGGAAGGTGATCTAAATAGAATTGCCAAATAAGAGGTGAGACAGAGCTCCAGCTGGACAGGGACATCTCTCATATCCAAATAAAAAACTCCAGTTCTGGAAATAGCTACATTTAATAGAGTTCTCAGCCAAAGGTGCCACATGAGAATCTTCAAACAGCCCAGGCTATTGCCAAGGCTATTGGTTGCTCTCCACAAACTGATGGTAAGGTCCTATTGCTGAAGACAACACCTATGACTCATTGAACATGGGGAATTAGAGCTCGTGCCTACCTAGAATCTTCACGCCAATAACTAGTGTTCATGGTACTGGAAGGTACCATGCATGCAACCAGAGAAATGTAAACATTAAGTCATCTAAAACCCCATCAATCTACAATGGTGACCTGTCTGCAAGATATGCTAGAACAATAAGGGCACACACCTTGTGGGTGTAACCAAACAATATCTGATTGGCTATAAGGCCTACTCCATGAGATGGAACCCATCTGACCCAACTTTGCACAGGTGGTCAAGACCCAACATTGCACTAGATCAGCCAGGGACCTAGGGGAAAACCAAATACTAATGTTCTGCTAAAGGAACGTAGCAAAGAAATGACTTGTAATGACCTTCTCCTCTACTCATAGCTCAGTGTGCTGCTCAGCCAGCATCAGAGAAGCTTCCTCTTACAGAAGATAGGAATAGATAGAGATCCACAGCTGGACACAGTGCAGAGAGTGAGAACACTCAGCCCTAAAAGGGATGTCTCTATCAATCCCTTTCCCCAGGGCTAAGGGACATCTATGGTAAGGGAGATAGAAAGACTGTAAGAATAAGAGGGGATAAAGAACACCAAGGAAACAAGGCCTTCTAGACACGATAGTGCTGGCTCATACATGAACTAACAGAGACTGTGCCAGCATACATAGGGCCTGCATGGGCCTAGGTCAGACGGGGCCCCATCACTGAGGGGGGAAGTAGACACAAGCCCCCATTGCTAACCAAGATGCTATCTGCAATTCATCTACAGCCACTAAGGAAATGTTAGCTTTCTCCAACAGAGTCTCCTAGGGTATACAAACTACTCACAAAGCAGGTCCCATGCCCAGAAGTAGATAGCCAAGACAAAACAAACTCAATGGCAATTTTGGAGGTTCTTTGTCTCATGATGCTTCATCAGTGACTTTTGTTTTGTTTTGCTTGCTTGTTTTGCTTTGTTTCTTACCTTACAGGTCTTTTGCAAATATATTATGGTTTTTGGTTTTGTGTTTTTATGAGATATCTATATGTGTGAACTTGTGTGTCTCTGCATCTCTACGTGTTTCTAATGCTTTTGCTTTAGCTCTTTTTCTCTGTATATCCGTTAGTTTTGTCCCAGTCCAGTTTGTTTAGTACTATTATTTTTTAGATGCTTATTTGTTTTCTAAGGAGAGAAAGAAAGAATGGTGTGAGTTTGGATAGAAGGAGGGGCAGAACTGGGAGGTGCTGGGAAAAGAGAAACTGTGGTCAGAACATAATGTGTGAAAAAAATCTAAATGACTTGAGAAATTGAAAAGGAAAAAAAAAAGACTTCATCCAATACTTTGTCCCTTCTCTCTTCAGGGTCATTTGCTCTGTTTATTGATTGATTCTCATCACTCTATCTGTAACGATCATATTATTTCTCTGATCAGCAAAAATCCTCATGCCCTTGTCCCCAGCAGCAGCCATCACATTTGTCTCTCTTACTCCACAGTGATCGTGAACTTGATTGGTACTTCATCAATCATTAGGCGGCATTTTACAAAATTCACGTCAAGCAGATATTAAAATTGCGGTCAACTGGGTTTTAGGATTCAGTCGCTCTGAAGGCTGCACAGTACCCGAGACACTGTCCTGTCTTGCTTTCTCTCTTCACACCTGGAGCTCCTTCCCTGTCTTCATTCTCAATTCCAGCTAGCTTACTAAGAAAGATTGTAAACCTGTCCAAAGACCCCAGTTCATAACTAGCAGATGTAGAAACCAAACTCCATTATTTCTGCCTTCCAAATGCGCTCCTATTACGACGACACTATTTTTATGGGACATTAGAGAAAGAGGCTTCCAGAAGGTTTCCTTTCCAATTTTGTGCCCCAAGGAAGGGAATTAACAAAGAGATTAGAAAAACATTGCTTGTCACACACAGCTGGTACATCTAAAGTTGTGCACTGTGTGAGATTTCCTAGATTATCAAATTAATAGTACATGTTCCATTCTGAGAGACCAAAGCTACAGTTGGCATGATTAGTGACTGAAATGACCCACAACATCAGGAAGGGCTGAAGAGGCGTCAGTTTAACGGAAATGTTTTCAAAGAAATCAGCCTGACTGTGAACCATTGAGTTTTTTAAGGATCAGGTAATGGATGTATCTTCTAGCCATACACAGAAGTGCAACCATTACGAATTACTACGAAGATCCCCATCAAAGCACTTTATACTTGTTTAGGACCTTTCGTTGTTAAAAACGTTGCAAACTCTTTATAACCATTACTTCCTTTAATATAAAGAACAATGAACTCAATTTGTAAGAAGAATAATATTTACAGCTTGTTTGAAAAAAAATAATCATTTCCAATACTTCCCACTGCTGTATTGGTTTAACACCTGTGCTTTGCAAGCTGCCCGATGATTTCACTCCCAGGGCACTGCAAGGGGTTTCTCATGAATCTGTTTCCTCCAACTAGGTCTGGAATGTGCTGGCCTTCCTGGTGCTTTTCGTCCTGGTAAGTAGTGAATATTCTAGAACTGGGTTTGGTGAGTTACGAAACACAGCTTCTCATACAAGGGTAGTGAGTGAGTGAGCTCTGAAATCTTTCTGCTTCTGGTCCAGTGCACACAATTAAGCCAGCAGTCCAGGGCATTAGGAAAAGTCCATCTGGTTAGCCAGGCATTTGTCCAAGACAAAGGTTTTCTTTTCTTGCATGGATTTTTTTTTATTTTTTCTTAGAGGAATCTGAAGCTGTACTTTAGAGATTCTGTTGACGGTTCTGAAGTATAATACCTTCCCCAAGTACTTTAGTCCTCTGCATTACCAACCCTGAACCTGACTACCACCAAGAATAGAGACTTCTCAAAAAGCAAGCAGCCAGCTCCAGTTCTAAATACTCTGTCAAAGCTGGTACAATTCGATGACCAGATACTCCAGACTTTAATAAGTCTTCTCAAGGATTGTGTTACGGTTTTCAAGCACATCTTGGTGTTCACTAACTAATGAGCAATGAAGGAAGACTTTGGGATGGACAGGGATGAGAAAAATCTATGTAAGCACCACGCTTATATAATTAATTCACAGTTAGATTTTCTTTTATTTTGCTTAATTCATGTTTTTATACTTTTACTATGGTTATGATATTATAGATCGTAGAAGGGTAGATTCACTATTAGAAGTTATTTAGGGTGCTGCTAGGAGAACATTATTTCGGACTAAAAATAGCATATTTTAAGAATAACTTTATTGAAATGTTCTTCATTGTGTCAAATTGTTCCCTTCTTAAGGTTTCATGATGGGAGAGTAAGGCTTTCCGTAGATCTCCAGCTTGGAACTTAGACAGTATCACGTGCCTGGAGTTTTCCTTGTTGCCTACAAGCGCAAGACACCCCACTGCAACTGGTGTGAG